TTTCCCTAAAACTCCACTTAAATTCTTTTTCCCCCATCAATTAACATTAATTTGAACCAATTTTTTTTCTTATATCTGTAAAACCCTTGGCTACCTAACAAGCCCTTCACAGACAAAATAAGAGCTAAACACATCCTTATTGCTTATCATGACTTTATATAGATAAGAAGACAGCAGAGAAATGGTAAATAAGTTGCTGAAAAAGTATATGGATGTGGCCTGGGACTTTGGACTCTAGGAAGATAGCCAGAAGAGGGTTTAAAAGCAAATAAGAGGGCACCATAGGAAACTAAATATTTGGCAATTTCTTCTTGCCTATTAGAGCCACTGTGAACCATCTCTCCTGCTCCTTCTTGTCCTTTAGGCTTTGTGTCATAGCCTGGGATGAGTAATTATAAAAGGCTGACAACTTCAGCCATTTCTATGAATAGTTTTAGCCAAGATATTCCAGGTAGTTTGATCTTCCCTAGTCCAATTTCTCCCAAGTAGCCTTGGTTTTATTTTTTCTGTTGTTATTGTTGTTGTTTGTTATGTTTGTTTGGTTTTGTTTATGCTATAGGCTCGTTACATCCACAATAGTTCCACGAAAGGAAATAATGAGGAAGAATGGCTAAGAGAAGGTACTCTGCTTGGAGTCAAAAATGTCTCAAGCATCTTGATAGGTGCTTTACATGCATGGGCTCTAAGCCTTCGCTACAACTTATAAGTATGTGGTGTTTGAAGAGAAACCTACAGTTCTAACATGCTTTGTTTGCAATTTAAAACTAGGACTTTCTAATTACAAAAGTTCACCTTTCTTTTTATTGCATTGGTCTTCAGTTAGATGAGGCTATTCCTGTCAGGCCTTTCTCCAACCTTAGCTCCTCCTTTTCCTTCTTTCTTTCTTTTCTTTTCTTTTTTTTTTTTTTTTTTTGAGACATTTTTGCTATAAGGCACATGAACTCGCCAGAGACAGAGAGCCAGAAAGCAAGAAATCACCTTTTACAGGAATGGCCATGCTGCAATCTCTTCTCCATTCTCCTTTTGGGATCTTATGCACATACGTACACATGAGTTTCAGCCAACGGGTCTGAGACTCTGTAGTCAATTCCGTGGGAGTCCCGTGATGTAACCATTATGCCATACACTGGTCCCCCTTTTCCTTCTTTTGTATTTTATGCATCTACAGTTTGTCAAAAACTCACTATTTGGCCTAAAAGTACAATCTAGAAGCCCAGGCTAGTGACATGGTCAGTGATAAACTGGGCTGCAGTGCTGGGAGTCATATGGCGGGCTGCTGTTCTGATTTCCCGGTTAGTCTCAAAACATGAGGGTTCCCCAAATCTTAAGATCCTGAGAACCTGAAGAACTGGTGAAGGGGAATTGCAACGTGATGAAAGTCTGCTGATGGAGCTTCTCTCTGTCTCTCTCTCTTATCATACACAGCTGTTCTCTAAAATGATAAATAAAATGAACTTTTTAAAAAAAAGTAATCTGAGACTCTTGTAATAATGGATTTGACTACAGATATAAACAGTCCCCCAGATCATGTCAGCACAGGACAGGCAGCCACAGTGCGTTTCTTTGGTAATATTTTCTCATGAAGGCTCAAACTCCTAAACACCATCCCAGAATCCAATGAAACAATCTTTCCACAATAATAGAACTACTATCCATGCTTCTTAGAGCACAATAAAATAATTTTTATTTCATTATTTTCCTAAATTTCATTTTCAGTTATACATTTGCTGAAAAGTGAAATACCGTAGGCAATTTTCAGTCACGGCATCTTCATCAAATACATATAATTTGAGATCTTACTGCTTGAGTGAATTATAGTCCTCTCAGGGTTTCCTGATTAAAGATAAAACTAAGATAATAGAGAGGAAAGGTGAAGACTATTGTTCTGTAAGAAGTTTGTTGAACTCAATAAATATTCATTCATGGGTGCAGTGTCCATTTTTCAAAGGAAACTCTAAAATTCCTAGAAACACAAGACAATACTGGCATTTTCGGATGAATATACATTCATATATTTGTGTGAAATTTTGTGCAATTAAACAATATGAAAGATGTTATTTGTAATCACAGCCAATGAAAATATATTTTCATTCCTATGTAAGTTAAACAGTTCTCTCATTTTATGTTCTGCAAAAAAGCCATGTGTGTAGTTTATGAAACAAACTATACCATAGGCAGCAGTAACTGAAAAGGAGTTTAACAGTCTTAACTACATACCCCTGGGATGAATAATACACTTTGCATAATCATGTGCAATGCTGGCTGGTGATTCCAGATCTTATAAATACAAGGGTTTGCAAGCTTCTACTTTACACAATATGCCCAAATCCAGTCGATTCGGCTTAAATAATCAAGCAAAAACTTAGGTTGGTATTCTACAAAATGGTAAGCAACCTGTTGACTAAATTGACCTTGTTTTTTGTTACTATAAGGACACAATCATTGCCCTATAAAGAAATCATGTCTAAGTGACTCCTTATTTAAATTTCTTTTCTCCCTAAGGCTCTTAGAAGTTGACTTAATTGTCTCACAGACCCAAAGAAAACACAGCTGCATAAACAAAAGACAAACATATTAATAACATAAAAAACAAATAGTGCCCTCTATGCACATTCCTCCATAGGAGAAATGTCACAAAAGCGAACAAAGAAACTTTGGGATCCAGCCGAAGTATAGGTTTATCAAATACCTAAAATTTTACCTTGCTGCAGTGACAGGTATAAATGTTGATCAAAATTTCTTATCTTGAGTACTTACATGTGAACCTTTGAATAGTGTATTTTCGAGAGTCATTACTCCAGTGTGAAGGTCTGCACAGTAGGCAAGCAAGCAGTGTCCTTCAGTTCAATACATCTATTGTTTGACAATCTGAACTGGGGAGCTTCAAGCAAGGAGTGAATCTATTTTACAAAGACAACTCGCCTCTGCAGACAAAAGGTATCAAATGCAGAAAGCCTTCTGAAGAAGGGAGTGTGGGTCTTCTTTGGCATGTGAAATGTTTCCAATATACATTTTCTTTCTGTGCAGGTGATCCTTCAGGGATACTTATTTGTCTTAAGATAATCCATTTTCTTTTCATCTCTTAGTGTGCGATTTTTGCCATGAACTGGGAGCCTTCAGAGTTAATTTGAAATAGTATAACTATGTATTTTTGAAATTTGAAAAGGTGGATAAATTTTAAATATTCCAGATATTATATTCATTGACTTGTCAGGTCAGTGACAAATTTTCAAGGCTCAAAGTCTTGGCACTTTCCTGATTACTTAGTAAGTCAGGGGTTTGGTTCTGTGAGTTACAAGGAAAACAGGCTCAATTTTAGCTTCTCTAAGCTTTTCTAAAGCAGTTTTTGCATGTCATTTGCTAGTAATCTTTCTATTTTCTTAGGCAAACTTCGACAGCAAGGGAAAAGAAACAAGTTGTTTTTTTTTTTTTCTCTGTCACTCTCTCTAATAGAGTTTTTAGGGCTTGTGCTACATTTTGAAGATTTCTGGAGGAGATAGCTACTTCTCTTGATTAGTTTATATGTTAGCACACAAAGGAATCACAGATGGGAAGGAAGAGTGCAAATGACTATCAGAAAAATGTCTCATGCATTTTAAGATTTTTTTACAGTCAAATATACATCCTCCTATTGCCCTCTCATTCCTTATTGTATAATATCCATTTGTATTTCATCCTTTGCCTTCACATCCTCCTGAATTGGATAAGAAGATACTTTCCTTGTTAAAGGATAGTACATATTTAATACTAATCGGTTTAATCGATTGTATTAATAAGAAATATAGCAGCAGTTTGGGCTGAGTCACCCATCATATCCTCCATCTATGGGGATTTAATTGTGTAAAATGACACAAACGTGAAATTAGGAGAACGAATAAAGCCATCTGCAGACTTTGGCACTAGCACACGTGATGTTTTTGTTTGAGTTGTTAGAGCTGTGGTTTGACAACTGCTCAACAAGAATTTAAAAATTACAAATCTGCAGAAAATAAACTATAATAGGTGTTGATTCTCAGTTTCATATTCCCCCCTCTTCCACTCCCACCCACCTATCCCCATATAGTTTCAATTATAATAAAAATAGAGATCTTAGCATCAGAATTTTGCTGTCAACTCTTCAAGGTTTCTCTGACATCCAAAACACACATAGGGTTTGAGTACCAGATCCACATGTTTCGCCAACCGAGTTTAAATAAACAAAACCTGAAAGATGTCAAAGAAACTGTTCTGAAATGAAGCTGTAACATAAAGTTCTCCCCAAAACACAAAGTATTAAGCATCTAGTTCAAGTACTACCAGGCTGTATGAAGATCTGTCTCAGACAGTCTTCTGACACAACTACAAGTACCACTGTTTCTAGAGGGCATCATTCGTGACAAAGCAGGGCAGAAATACCCTTTACATCATCAATTTTTATAAGTTCCAACCCCCTTTGTGATTGGCTGCCGCAGGGTCAGTGCTGACTTGGGGTCTGGGGGGAGGAACTGAGCCTCCTCCTCAGTAGGGAAGCTCTATGTTTAGTTTGAACAGTTCTCCTTCCAGAGCTTTCTCTCGGGGCTGTCCTGGCTTCTCAGGATCCATTGCCCTTGCCCAGAAGAAAGAGCCTTGTTCCGACCTAGTAACAGCGAAAGAAGAGTCGACCTACCTGTGGAACCAGACCCAACTTGGTCCCCAAAGGTCGCTTAGGCAACCCCACTGCAATTGACAACTCAACTTGTGCACTTAAAGCGTATGAGTTTATGGAACGCTTGTTTGAAGTCCTCATTGGACATTGTATAGATGATGGGGTTGATGAGGGAGTTAAGATAGCCCAGCCACGTGAAGAAGTCAAAGATGGCCAGGTGGAACCAACAGGCATCTTTGCAGATAGGCATCACCAGGGAGATGATGAAGAAGGGCAGCCAACACACAATAAACGCTCCCAAAATGATCCCTAGGGTCTTGGTGGCTTTGCGCTCCCTAGCGGCCATGAGTTTCTTCTTTTCCAGCAGGGCGTCAGAGACTCTGACTTTGACTTGGTTCACGTACACCGGAGACCCGGATTCGCTGGGCACATCCGGAGCCCGCGAGTTAATCGAGGTGACCGAAGAGGTGGACCCTGGAGAGTCGGTTATCAGCTGGGCTCGGGTCAGGCGCTTGCCGGTCCTGTTAGGCGTCTGTTTCAAAATCCGGGAGCGGGCTTCCACGTAGATGCGGCCGTAGAGGGCGATGAGGAGCAGGGTGGGGAAGTAGAAAGCGCCCACCGTGGAGTAGACCGTGTAGAGGATGTGGTCGGTGTTCACCATGCAGTCCGACACCTCCTCCTCGGCTTTGGCCTGGCGCCAGAAGAACGGCGGCAGCGATATAGAGATGGAAAAGACCCACACCAGCGCGATCATGACCGCCGCCCTCTTGGGAGTCCGTTTAGCTGAGTACTCCACAGCGTCCGTGATGGCCCAGTAACGATCCAGGGCAATGACACAGAGGTGCAGGATGGAAGCAGTGCAACAGGTGATGTCCGACGACAGCCAGAAGTCGCAGACCACCTGGCCCAGTGTCCAGCGGCCGGTGACCGTGTACATGGTGCTGATGGGCATCACCAGGATGGACACGAGCAGGTCTGTGACTGCCAAGGAGGCGATCAGGTAGTTGGCCGGGGTGTGCAGCTTCCGGGTCCGGTACACGGTGGCGATCACAAAGGCGTTGGAGAGCGTGGTGGCCAAGGTGATGAGCGCCAGCAATATAACCAGCAGGACTTTCCAGGGCAGGGCAATGGAGTCCTGGTAAATGTAGCCCTCGGCGCTGCAGTTGTGGGAGGGAGCAGCGGAGAGATTGGCTTGAGGTACCCTGGTCTGGGAGCCGGCGGGCGGCGGCGGGGCGCACTGAGCACCCAGTTCCTCCATGGCTCTCCTCGCCCAGGCTCTGGAGCGCAGCTCTCGGGCATGGAGCGGACGAGGGAGTGGGCGGAAGGACTGTGGAGACCACAGGCTTGTCCCCCGTTGCTAGTCAGTTCCGTGGGTTCCTCAATTACTCCTCCGCCCAGATTCCTAGCTGTAACTAGAGGTCACGGGCGCTGCAGCGGAGGCAGTCGGGCGCGTCCCCTGCACTTCCAGTGCGCCTGGCGCTGCAGCCGCGTCTCAGGATGCTCCTCTCCACGCCCAGTCTTAACCCTGGGTTGGTAAGACCTGGCCCAGGAAGCCCCGCTCCGCTCTGGCTCCCTGGAGGCGCGCAGTGGAGGAGGACGAAGTACTGTATTGCTTGAGGAAGGGACTTCAGCCAGGTGGGGTCTCTTACCCCACTTGCTCGGGGCGAAACCTCTCCTACCTAACCTGGGAGCTCCAAGATCTGCTGACTCCGCCCGCAGGAGTTTCCTAGCTGACCAGACCAAAGCTTTCAGGTCAGCAGGGAGTCCTGGTCTTGCATACCCGCCCTCCGCCCCAAGCTGGGGTACTGTCCTGCGGCGGCTGCGGGCTCCAGGGCTGGGTGGGGTGAAGTCTGGGAGCCGCGCTGCGCCGCGCCAGCCGCTGAAGCTCTGCCCTCCCTCTCTTTTTACGCGCTGGCCACTCGGGCGAGCTGCCCCGCGGAGACGGGGCCGCAAGAGGGGGGACTCGGGGGCTGGAGCTGCGGCGGGGTGCGGCGCGG